GTTGTATGTAAATAGACCCAAGCTTGTCGTCTGTTAGCCATCTCGGTTTTGATGTTCTAAAGATAAGTGTTAATCATATGGTTTGGAGATTATATTTTCATGGATTTAAATAACATATTTAAGCTTTCAGAGAAACAATTCATGTGAGATTACTCAAGAAAATGGATGATTAATAGAGATTACGAGCTCTTATAACATTATTCTCAACAATTCATAAGACAACAAATGATATGGAATAACACTTGCAACTTGGACATATTTTTAAAAGAAGATATCAAAAATTCATTAGAGACAACACATTCGAGGTCCAACTAAGATTTGTAATACCTGAAACCAATTTTCACATAAGGTTACCTAATCAAAGATCAATAAGTTACGTTTTCATGGGTTTAAATACATATTGTAATTCCCACTTCTCTATTATGCATGTGGAGATTAAATAGACTAATGTTTTGGAAGCAATCTGGAAAATCAAAATCGAGATCCAGATCATGTAAGTTGTGTTGGAACAATTATGTTTGCATAATGGGTATCCATATATCAAAATAATTGGATGTAAATTTGAATGAGAAATGGGATACAAGTCCTATGGGAAAATCTCTAAAAACTTTGTTTAAATGAGCAACGTGAAAATGTCCTATATTGTTAATTAGGGAGAGAAATTAGTGATATATAAAAGAGTGAACATAAGCTAAAATGCAAAATATGTGTGCACTATTGTGCATGTATGACAGGAGATAAACCCAACCACACAAGCTGTCTCTTTAACTCTTTTAGTAAAAACAACATATAATTCGTCTTCTTTTTTACATTTGGTAGTGTCGACTCATTTGTCAAATAAAAAGACCACTTGGTCGATGGTCTAAATCTGATCTTGTCCGTTCTGAAATGGAAAAATTGAACAATTATGCAAGCTTGCTAATAATTTTGGATTTTTTTTTTGTTTTTGTGATAACACCTTCACTGAAAATATCAGTTATTATAAGGGTTATTTTGATGTATAGCAAAAAAAAAAGTAAGTAAAAATAGAGTACGTGGCAAAATCATGATCATTGGATTTGGGAGTTTTGGTTACTTTTTAAGTTATAATTTTTTTAGGCTATTTTAGTCAATTTCCCTTATTATAACGTGTTTTCATCTCGGATTGATCGGATTTTCATATTTTGTTTTTTAAACTATCCCAAATGGAGCTTGGAAATAGATATTTAATTCTACTCTACATATTACGTGATTATATAATACGAACAACACATATGACGAATAAAATTTTCTAACATATAATACTAGAATATGAACCGCGCATTCGCGCTAGATTTTGTTATACAATTTATTAAATTTAATCATTATTTACTGTAGTATTTATGTTATGATAAAAAACAACAAAGTTTTTATAGATATAAAATAATATTTGATTTGAAATAAAATAATTTTAATGCTGCATGAAAATATCGAAGTTACCATTTATAATTTATTTGTTTAGAACTTTGTTATTTACATATATATGGCCATTAGATAAATCAAGTTATTTACATATCTAAATAACCGATTACGAATTTGATGATAAAAAATTTATCAATCATTTTTTNNTTTATCTTTATAGTATGATTTATCAATCGTAGGTGGTTTCCATATGTCTTCACAATGTATATTTGTTATTCTCTTATAATTTGCACTTCACCATGTTTTAGTATTGTGGCATATGGAAGATGATGAACATCTTGTTTGTTTGTTGTTTACAGTCTTTTCAATTACGGAATGAGAAAGTTTATCTCTTCATCAGTAAAGTGTAAATTTTCTTCTTCAAGTTTGATTTAGGTTTTTGCTAGGCAGAGTTGAAGAAATTCATAAATCTTATTGAAATTGTTTTTTAATGGATATAATAGTTTTATGCATTTTTTTGTTCAGTTATCTTAGTCTCGTAAGTTTATGTATATTTTGGTTTTTGTTCATCGTAAAAAAATAATTGAGTTTTGTCTTAAATGTTGGTCTTCCTATATCTCCTCATTCAA